CCCTATGTATAATAAGCTCACAATTTACTATTGTGTATACACATACACATACACAGATGTACACACTGCTGATGGACAACTGGGCTGTTTCCAGTTTAGGGCACCAGACTGGGCATTTAGGAGGCAGCACAGAACAGAATGGCTATATGCATAGCTCCTGGAGTCACAAAGGCCTGACTCAAATCCTGGCTCTGTCACAAACCAGCTGTGTGACCTTGGGCAAGTGATTCACCCTCTCTGAGCTGCAGTTTCCTCTTTGAAGTAGGGATTATGATAACAGTATTTACTCAGAGGGTTGTCATAAAGACCAAGAAGTCACATGAAATCATAACCTGCTGCCGAACTCAGCCGATGCTCAATAAAAGAATGGTAGCTGTTAAATTATTAAGGGAAGAGGCAGAAATTATGAATGTCAGCTCTTGAATCTGATTTGGATTCAAATTTTGGGTTAAGTGAACCAATTGTTACTAAACACTCAGCATAGGGCTCAGCAAATAGTAAACTCACAATTTATTAGCATTAAATACTGATAACCTTTACAAGATACCAATGATAAGTTTGCCATTTAATAAAGAAGGAAACTGTTTCTCAAGACACATGGCACCTGCTAGGTCACACAGTGAGAAGGAGGTGGAGCAGAGGCTGAGGATCTAGGGACCCGCCTGTCCCAGGCTGCCCTCCAGATGTGGGTACCCTGCTTTCACAGAGTTGAGGTGTACTCCCACCCCTCCACCCACCCCTGAAGCTTCATCTTGAATGTCAGAGAAGGATAGTAGGGGGCCACCTCCAGACTCGGTTTGGTGCTTCCTAAGCCAATTTCTGCCCCTGCCTGGCTCATATCTCTTAGCTGGCCCAGTGGGGGCATGAGCCCTGTTTCACAGAGGGCTGTACAGGGTTCTGGCCCCCAGAGCTGTTCTGGGTGGTGAAGGTCAGTCAGGGGTTCCTCTGGCATCTGCCGGGCCTGGGTTTGAGACATCTCAACTGTGACCTGGGCAAAGTTTCCTCTCTTCTTGCCTCAGTTTCCTCATCTGTGAAGTGGAGAAATGACAGTGCCTGCCTCATAGGGGCCTTGTGGGGGCTGAACCCGGTGGCTCAGGTAAGCTAACACCGGAGGTGGCCTGGGTCAGGGCAGGGCCACCAGTGGAGTCCAGGAGCCACACGGGCCTTTGAGAGGCGCCGAAGGCCTTGGGTTCACATACCAACTGCCACCCACACAGGCCGACGTCCCTTCCAACGATGCAGCAGGGCTAAGTTCACTTGGACGTGGAGAGGAGAGGGTGACCTGGGGTTGGGACAAGAGCCTGAGTCAGGACAGACGCCCTTGAGAGAAGCCCAGACTCCCCTTCCTGAAGTCCCCTGGCTGCTCAGGGCCAGTCCCAGCCTCTCCTAGGGATGTGCAGGAGGGTTAAGGGTTCTGTGACCCCCCTGCCAGATAACCCAGGGCCACCAGGGGTGACTGTGGGCTGAGATAGGGCAGGCAGGGGTGGTGGGCAGGTCTGTGTCCCCTCAGCCAGGTCCAGAGAGGTTAGGAGGCAAATTTGAGGGCAGTGTGACATCAGCAGGGTGTCAGTCCTTGTTCCTCTTTCTGTCTCGCACCCCCTACCTGCCCAAAGGAAGGACTCATGTATGTGAGCACCTCTCAAGTGCCAGGCACTAACCACAGAATCTCCTGCAAAGTGGCAATTGTCATATACACCCACACATGCACACATGTGTACATACACACACACATGTACACACCACAAACACACTCACACATGCATACACACACACACATACACACATACACACACGTCCCCCTGCTGTGCTACTGACCAGCAAAGGCAGAACCCGTCCTGCCTGAGAACAAGCCCGAGGGCACCAACATGCAGGCGGTGGAACAAGAACCTTCGCCCAGGCTGGTCTGACCCCTCCTGGCCACCTTCCCAGTCCCAGGGCAAAATGAACCTACAAATTTCCACGGAGTTCCTGTGTGACCCACTGATCCAAGTCTTGGGTATCTCCCCAAGAGAACTGAAAGCATCTGCCTCACGGAACCTGTACACCCACGTTCACAGTGGCGGTGTTTACCATGGCCAGAATGGAAAGGGTGCTGCCTCCACAGCTGGGGAGCAGATGGCAGAGTGCACTCCGTCCCTACAAGGGAATGCTTTTTAGCCCTGAAAGGGAAAGGGCCGCTGGCACACGCTGCCATGGGGCAAATTTGGAAACACCATCCTGAGGGAAAGAGGCTGGCCCCAAAGGCCTGTGGGTGCCACATGATCCCTTTTAACAAGATGCCCAGACTTGGCGCGTCTACAGAGACTGAGGGCAGAGTAGTGGTTGCAGGGACATGGGTGTGTGGGGAGCTGGGGAGGGGTGATGTGGGGCTTATGTGGGGGATGGAGATGTTCTAATGTGGGACCTGTGCTGACTGCGGGGGCTCTGAACACACTAAGGACCCTCGCACTGCCCTCCTTGTAGTGGTGAACCGTATCGTGTGTGATTAGATCTCACAAAGCTGTTACAAGTAGAGGAACACAGGCAAAGTGAACGTGCCTGGCCTGAGGTCCTGCTTCTTGCAGGTGCCCAAGAGATGAACCAAGACCACACGGATGGACCGAGACCACTGCCCACCCAGCACCCCGCCAGCTTCAGGACTCAAGAAACATTGTGTCTCTCCTCTTCTGTGTCTTCCAAAGTACACACCCGGTCCAGCTCTTGGGCTCTCAGGCCATGCCAGTCCCCTGCCCAGGTCAGATCCTGGGCTGAATGTGATAGCCCAGTAGCCATGCCATGGCAGACTGTGAGCTTTCCTGGCAGCACGATGCCTTGGGTTTACCTGCCCAAGTAGCTGGACCAGTACTAGAGAGGCTGGCTGGAAGCTCAGAAGTCCTGCATTAGTCAGTCAGTCAGTTAGTTACACAGCTGCGTAACGGAGACCTGAGCACCTCAGTTTCCACATAAAAGGCCAGATAGGCAGCCCAGGGCAGTGCCAGGGACCATGTTCCTCCCATCTTCCTGCTCTGCCATCCTCAATAAGCAACGTCCATCTTGAGTCCAACCTGGGGAAACAGGAGGGGAGGGGATACACCTCTTCCCATCAAGGGCGTGACTTGGGAGGGCACGTGTGGCTTTAGCAACCATTGGCTTGGTCAGAACTTATTTGTGGCCCTGACTTTTTCAAGACAGTCTGGAAAATGCAGTGTTGAGCTGGAAGGGTATGTGCCCAGCATAGGATTCTACTGGTGGACAGTAGAAGGGGAGGGAGGACGGGTGAAGGAAGGAGGGAGAAAGGGACAGAGATTGAACCGGGAAGGCAGCCAGTAAATGCCGCCGTGCACGTCAACTCCCTCACCTGTAAAGAGAGGGAAAGGGTTTCGAAGTTGGACCAGGAGATTCACTGATTGAGGCGAATGACACATGGTCCTCAAATAAACACGGCAACTGCCTTGTGCTCACCCCACCCTGCCACGAGGATGTCCATGCTGGGGCCGGGGGACAGAACCAGCCATCCTGGCCCCAGAGTGTGGCATGAAGGCCAGGTGGGCACAAGCACCGTTACCCAGAGGTGGCCCCTGGGATGGACTGAGCCCACGGGGGACAGGGCATGGAGACTCAGGGCTGCTTGGGCCTTCAGTTAGGGGTGGGCCAGGTCAGAAGCCCCACGTCAGAACTGGCTTGGCGTGGGGAGGCCCCACTGCCTGCTGCCTGCGGTCTGGCCACACACCTGTGGGCACTGGCCTGCCCGTGATGTCAACTCAGCACCCAGTGCTCACAGCACTTCCCTGGGCTCTGGCCCCTGACCACTGGCTGGCTGGACGCTCAATAGATTCTGTTTTGAAAGAAAACAAACTCTTTTGAAACTGCTGCTGGGAGCACAGACTGAAAGTCTCACCCCTCACTCCTGCCCCCTCCCTTGGGGGCGGGTAGACCTGTGAGTACCCTGGAAACCTGGTGGGCGAGGCTGCACGTGGGGCACATGTCCCGTCCCAACCTCTGAGGCCGCAGACTTGGGCAGGGGCCCTGCTGTGTGGCTACCTTGGAAGTGGAGGCAGTGTTTGGACTGAGGGCACTAGGGAGCCACTGAAGGGTGAGAGGGAGAGTGAGGAAGTCAGATAAATTTTTTCAGGCATTTGGGGCAGCACGACCCCTGTTATTAGAAGGATACTGCAGCTGATGTGAGAGGGACAAGGAGGGGGTGACAAATATGAGTGACATTTTCAAACAAGAATCTATGGAGTTAGTGGTGACTCAGGCCCAGTGGGGCCCCAAGTCAGGCCTCTTAGAACCAGCTCAGCCTCAGATCTTCATGGCAGGAGCTGTGAGGCTAGAAGCTTCCCTGGGCTGTTCAGCCCTGGGCCCTGGTGGGGCAGAAGGTCTGGAGCAGGTCAGGAAGCCTGGCCTGCACGGTCAGCCTCAAGGCGACATGGCAACCATTGTGGAGAGCTCTGTGTCCCACCAGCCGAGAGCAGCACTGTCACCCCAGCCTGGCCCCTCCAGCTGTTACAGGGTGGCCAGGCACAGTGGCCCTAGGCAGCCTCAGAGGGGTAATCGACACTAAGGGGGCTGGGTCAGGTCACAGGGCAGAGAGACAGTGGTGACCTCTCCCTGAGCTGCCTGTCTCAGTTTGTCCTTGGAGAAAGGGGGTGTTTATGCCTGTGTCCTGTGGTGTTTGGGGACTAAGCGGGTGAGCTGTGGGGACTGAGGCCCCTGGCGTGGTAGGTGGGCTCTGTGGGCAGAAGGATGAGTGGGCTGCTTTTTTGGGGCCCCTTCCTCTTTGCAGGGGGCCCAGGCCAGAGCACAGCTCCACGGCCTTCCCCTCGGGGAAGGATTGATGAAGTGACTGCTGTTCTGCTGGGACTGGGGGAGGGAGGGCCGTGGTGGGCACGAAATCAGTGTGTGTCGTGGGCTGCCTGGCAAGTTCCTCAGACCGCTGGATCTTTGCCTGTGCCACTCTCTCTGGCTGGTGGCCCTGCTGTCACAGGTCACTCTGTTCTGGCCTCAGATCCAGACCACATGCCACTTCCCAGAGAGCCTTCCTTGATTTCCCCGGCGAGAGTCAGGCCAGGCCCAGGGGCAGTGACAGCACCGACCCACAGGGCTGCCTATTTTACGTCTGTTCACCTGCTGGACTGAGGGTCCTGAGGTTGGGGCCCATGTTCACCATCGTACCCAGTGCCAGTGAGTACCAGGCGCCTGGTGGGCACTCAGAAATACCAGCAGAACGCATGAAGAGGGGAATGAAAGTGTCAACTTCCACTGCCTGCACCCTGCAGTCTCAATAGCCAGGACCTTACCTTCCTCTGGTAAGGTCCAGGTAAGGACCTCAGGTGGCCCAAAGGGGGAGGCAGGGGCGGGCATGTGGTGGCTTCTGAGGCTGGAGGACCCCAGGGAAGGAGTGGGGGACAGGAGTCATGTTCTGTGACCTGGCAGCTTGCATGCTGAGTGACCCAGGACAAGTGACGTAACTGCTCTGTGCCTCAGTTTCCCCTCTGTCAAATGGGGGTGATAATGCCCTCCACAGGGCCATTACAAGGACTAAACAAGATAGTTTATGCAAAGACTTTCGAGTAACAGCTTCCCCATGCTATGAGCTGGGTATTTGCCAGATTTATTTATTTATTTGCTTTGAAAAAAATTTTTTTAAATTATATAAATGATAGACAAATATTTAAAGAAACAAACAAAAGAACAATCTAGAAAGAACATTTAAATCCCCCCAAATCCTACCTGCTAATGTAACAACTTACATTCGTCAAGGTGAGGTTTAAGTGCAAGAGACATCTTTGCAAATAGCAGTGGTCTAAATAAGATGGAAATTGCTTTCTCTCTCACGCGAAAGGGTAGAAATGGAATGGCAGGTGGTCCTGCCCTACAAAGCCTCCAGAGATCTGAGTATCCTTACTCTTCCCTCAGTCACTACCCTGGAGTTATGGTCCCACCTTTTGGTCCAGAATGGCAGCTGGAGCTCCAGCCATCACGTCCAAGTTCCAGGCAGCACTAGGAGAAGAGCTGAAGAAGGTGCACGTCACTTGCTTTTTAAGGAAGGTTTTTGGAAGCTGCAGTCCTCCTTCCTTCCGTCTTTTCCTCTCTCCCTCTCAGTTTCTCTCTTTCTTTATCTGTACGTCACCTGGCCACACCTGATAATGGACATTACTACTCATGGGCCGTTTGACTTTTTTATTTAAAATCCGATCACGAGTATCTCGCATGTCTACAAATAGAGTTTCACAAGGCCATTTTCATAATAAGATTGCTTGTGATTCTGTCACACAGACCCTTGACAATTCCACCTGTATGGATGGTGCCAGGTTTCCAGTACGACACCCCTGCCGGGATGGACATCATCGAACCTGCCATCCTTGCACTTGGTTGGAACATTTCCACCCTGTAAGTTCCCAGAAGTAGGAATGCTGAGTGCAAGCAGAGACTCTTGACATTTGGACATGAATTGAGAAACTGCCTTTCAGGAAGCCAGCCCAGGCAGACTCCTCTCACCATCTGTGGGTGCTCAGAATGGCGTCAGGAGCGTCCCGAGGCGGGAGGTGCAGCCTACCCGGCCCCACCCTGGCTCCCTCTCCTTTTAGTCGGTCTGTTTCCGTAATCACTCCTAATCTAGGGCTCTTCCCTCCACTCTACACAGGAGGAGTGTGCCCATGTCCTCTTCGGGGTCCCAAAGAGACGCCTCTGCCTTGGGAAAAGCCCGACATGAGACCGTGACCCCTCCAGACAGCACCGAGCAGCGGGAGCTGGAGCAGCTATTGCTCAGGCTGAGCAGGGACAGTGGCCAGCCCTGGACGAGGGGCAGTGGACTGTGGGAGGCTGTGCTGGCCCCTCAGTCAGATGCACAAGGGTCTGCGTCTTAGAGTGCTGTGTGAAGGCACCAGCCTATCTGGTGTCCACCCAAACGCTCCTGATCTCAGCGGGCAGCAGGGGTGCCAGGGTCAGCAGACACAAATACAAGATATCCAGTTAAATCTGCTGTCAGATTGACAACAGTCAGCTTTCGATATAACCCTCATATTGTATGAGACAAGGGATGAGAGGGTGCACGCCACTCACCTTCTCAGGACACTTCCTAAGACCACTGTAAACAACTAGAAAACAGGACACAGAGCATGAAACAGTGGTTTTTAACACCGGGTCACCAGGCAGAGCAGGACTCTGACCCTCGGAGAAGGGACATGTGCGGGGAGCCTACACGTGGGAGGTTTTAAACTCACAGCCACCCTGGTGTCCTGTCGGGACGCGCATTTTTGGTGAGGAGACGAAGGCAGAGGTCCAGGTAGAGCACGGTGGCATCCAGTGCTGAGACAAACCCAGCATAGGGAAGCTGTGACTTGATAGTAACATAGAGAAGGTTCCATACAAAGGAGCCCCACTGGGCTGATGGTAATAAGAGGAGCCAGAAGACAAGAGAAATAACTAAGTTTGAGAAAAAATGCTGGTCAAATGGACCTCCAGTAGCAGGTACGCTGCCACTCGAGACCAAGGGCAGAAACGGTGCGTCTGGACCAAGTCCCATGGGCAAATTTACTGCTTACTTCCATGGATGGAGAGATGTTTAAAAGACAATGTATCCATACAATGGCATGTTATTTAGCCTTACCAAAAAAAAAAGAAAAAGAAAAAGAAAGAAATTCTGCAAGAGGTGACAATGTGGAAGAAACATAGGACATTACGGTAAGTGAGGTAAGCCGGTCACAGGAGGACGATTACAGCGTGGGTCCATGTGTGAGATATGTAAAGCAGTCAAACTTAACAGAAGCAAAGAACAAGTTTATAGAAGCATGTTGCTACGTAGAAAACCTATAGTTACTGTATCGTCCCACCCAAAAATCCTACCCATACTTCCTAAATTGTACAAGTGTCAGACGCCAGGATTTTTAATCATTGGTAATGTAATAGCACAAAGGAATCGCTTTTTTCTCTATTCATGATGTTGACCTACATCATCTTGATACAGCCTTATTACTCATTTGTGTTATTTGATTTTTTATTAATCCTTTTATTTTCACTTCCCTTGTAATGTTAGTTGCTTTGTTAGTGATTTCAAAGTGCCCGTTTATGATAAGGATGTTAATATTATATCAAGCATTGCAATCATATTTTCTTATTTATTTTATTGAGGTGTTTTATTTTTTGATTGGACTGAAGTTATGTATTGAAAGACAATTATGTTCTGTTTCAAAAGAAGGAAACAAAGGACAGGATGGGGATGCGGAGAGGGGAGGGTGGGGCTTTGCTAATCAACAGGTATCAGTTTTGGTTCTGTGAGATGGCAAAGTTCTAGGCATCCGCTGTACGCCTCAGATAACAGTAACTAAGTGTACGATTACAACAGGGTTGTACACTTAAAAACCTGCTGAGACGATAGATCTTACACTAATTACTCTTACCACACACGCAAGAATTAAAATAGAATTCGCCACTTACACATCTCCACCGAAAGAAATACTAACCTTAAAAAACTGGGAAGAATTTGATGAACTGGTGAGCAAATCGAAACAAACATTGCCAGTAAAGATTCTGTTATTACGATACAAATACACAATTCGAAAGATATAGAAGCCATGCTGGATAAAAGTAATAAAACGAGAGGAAGAACATCGGAGTTAAGCTTTCTGATTTCTGACATTCTTCAGCAACTGAATGGAGATTTTTAATTTACACTTAATTAAGTCGAACATGCTTGTTAAAAGCACAAATTAATCCTCCAAAGATTAGAGGCTTATTATATAACTTCTAAGGGAGCACAGGGTACAGAAGGAGTAAATTACATTCAATTAATCTGATGGAAGAGAAAAGAAAATAATAATCATAGGAAATAGACCATAAATAGAGTGCTGGTAAAAACCATTCCCATCATTAATTACGATAAATATGACTTCACTGAAAGCACAAGTAGAAAGAGACAGCTTGTAAGCACTCACTAGAAACAAACAAAACCTAGCTGTCTGCTGTTTATAAGAGACACTCTAACAGGAGGGCATCGGGAGACTGAAGCTACAGGGTGAAAAATACCCACCGAGCAAAAACCAACCAAAGGAATCTAACACAGCTACGTTAATGCCGAACTAAACGGCCTTTAAGATGAAAAGAACGTATTAGAGGCAGACAGGTGCAATTTGCCAAGGAGATGTAACAATTCTCCACTCAGCTAACATTTAATAGTATGGCCTTAAAAAATATTTAAAACAGCTAGGCATGGTGGGTTGTGCCTGTAATCTCAGTACTCTGGGAGGCGGAGGCAGATGGATTGTTTGACGTTAGAAGTTGGAGACCAGCCTGAGCAAGAGTGAGATTCCATCCCTGCTAAACATAGAAAAGAAAACAAACTGGCCTGGTGTTGTTGCAGGCACCTGAAGAACTCGGGAGACTGAGGCAAGAGGCTTGCTTGAGTCTAAGATTTAAGGTTGCTGTGAGCTATGATGGAGACACAGCACTACACCCAGGGCATCAGAAAAAAAAAAGGTTTAAAACAAAAATGGCATAATTGAAAAGGTAAACAAACTCATGATTATGCAATGATATTTTAAAGGACTAATTTCAATATTTGATAGTACGACCAAAAAAAAAAAAAAGAGAGAGAGAGAATTGGACATTTAGAATATCACGGTGCAGAACAGTGTTTCAGAAGACAAACTCTTGGCTCAAATCCCAGTTCTGTCACTTACCGGCTATGCGTCTGACCTCAGGAAAATCCCCCAGCATCTCTGTGCCTCGGTGTCCTTATCTCCCAAATGGTGGTAATCTATGTTTCCCACACAGGAGTGCTCTGAGGATTAGATGACTCAGTATTTATAAACCATTTAGAACAAAGTCTGTGCCATTGTTAGCATTCTCTAAGTGTTTGTTAAATAAAATATAAACTACCCTGAGCTGAGGGACATAAGCATATCCTGCCCCTGACAATTAAGAATAACATTCTGTATATTCAAGAACATATGGGATATTTATAAAAATTGGCAACGCGCTAGGCCACAGAAGTTCAATAAATTCTAATATGTGATATAACACAGAATACGGTTTTCGAGGACAACGAGATTGTTAGAAGTTAGCTTAAAAACACTCATAAACATCTATACATTCTATGGCACATTTCTTTCTTTCTTTTTTTTTATGGCACACTTCTAAGCTGGCCCTTGAGCAATGTGCAGGTCAGGGGTTCCAACCCCCTGTGCAGTCAAAACCCTGTGTATAACTTCAGACTTTCTACAAACTTAACTACTAGTAGCTGACTGTTGACTGGAAGCCTTAGGAACATAAATAGTCAATTAACAAATATCTTGTATGTTCTGTGTATTGTGCACTGTATTCTTTTTTTTTTTTTTTCTTGAGACAGAGTCTCACGTTATCACCCTCGATAATGGCATCCTAGCTCACAGCAACCTCCAACTCCTGGGCTTAGGTGATTCTCTTGCCTCAGCCTCCCGAGTAGCTGGGACTACAGGTGCCCGCCACAACGCCCAGCTATTTTTTGGTTGCAGTTTGGCTGGGGCTGGGTTTGAACCTGCCACCCTTAGTATATGGGGCCGGTGCCCTACTCACTGAGCCACAGGCGTCGCCCCATGCACTGTATTCTTACAGTAATGTAAGCTCAAGAAAAGAAGATGTTATGAAAACCATGGGAAGAGAAAATACATTCATTAAGTGGCCGTACACCACCATGAAGGTCTCCATTCTCATCTTCATGTAGGCTGAGGAGGAGGATGGAGGAGAGTGGCTGGTTTTGCCGTGTCCAGGGTGGCAGATGTGGCAGAAAATCCACAGAAGGTGGATCCACACAGTTCATACCCTTGATGGTCAAGGGTCAACTGTCATCCAAAGAAAAAAGGAGAAAATGTGATGAAAATAATATGTTTATGACTAAGGTTGTGAAATACGATATATTGGCTTTTGTGGGCTACAGTGAAGGTGATACTTGCAGAAAAATTAAAAGTCTAAAATATTTGTATTAGAAAAGAATGGGAGCTTGGTGCCCGTCGCACAGTGGTTACAGCGTCAGCCACGTACACCAAGGCTGGCGGGTTCAAACCCAGCCTGGGCCAACAACATGACAACTGCAACAACAAAAAAGAAAGGGTAAACTTTTGCAAAGCTGAGTGGCCAACCCCACAAAATGGAAGAAAAGAACAGGTTACACCAAACACACGTAAAAAGATGGAAAAAATAACAATCAGAGAAGAAATTAATGAAATGGGGGAAAAGAGGAGAGAGAAACAGAGAGGATCAGAAAAGCCAATAATTGGATCTTTGACAAGAGACAAAGCTCCAGAAAGATTAAATTAGAGACAGAGAAACAAAAACAGAAGAGAAACAAATTAAAAAGAGAACACATCAGGCACTTTAGAGGATATTTAAAATATAGTTCCTGCTAAAAAAAGCTGCTATACACTCAATAAATTTGAAAATGTAGATAAAATGGACAATTTCTTACAGGAATACAACTTACCAAAAACTGACTCAAGAAGAAACAGAAAACCTTGCCAGCCCTTTAACCTTT